AAATGGTGATCTAATTATCAAGCTTTATTATGAAGGTGGGACTTTCAATCGTCAACTTCCCTTAATTATGCAATGATATTCATGCTAATTGGAAGACTATTGGACTTTTGGGTAGAGCGTTGACTTTTACAATTGACGATTTAACGGTGTCATGGGGGTACAGAATTGAAAAAAAGATGAGAAAACCTTTCTAGTGATCATAAATATTGTGTCAGGGGCACAAACATGTAAAGGGCGGTATTTGAGGGTAGGATAGTTTTTGGAATCTTCATGAGCAACTTATGTGTGTTTTATTTCAGCTTAACATTTTTATTGCGAAGAAAAAAAAACCAATCAATATAATTAATGTTTTAATATCATTTTGTTATAGAATCAGTGACCTGGTACCTAGCTATCTAAAGTATTAGTACGTTTTTCTATTTTATAGATAAGATTGTTGAAAAGAGTTTATCACAACATTTATTATAATGCAGAAGTAGAATCTTCATGAGCAACTTATGTGTGTTTTATTTCAGCTTAACATTTTTATTGCAAGAGGGCTTCCGTATATTGTTCAAGTGTAAAAAGTAAGCTGTCGACTGTAAAATCATCGCAAAATTATGTTCCCCAAACGAAGTTGGGGAACATATTGTTTTTAGTCTGTTTCTTCTTCTTCTTATTATTAAGGTCTTCCGTCTTCAGCGGAAGACCTTCTTGTTATTCTTAGGTTTCTTTTTCACTTTTATTATTATTATTGTTTTTTTTCTTACCGATTTTGTGCACGCGATTTCTCAAAAACGACTCGATGGATTTCCACGAAACTTTCAGGACTTATGTAACATCACTTGAACCTTATGCGTTTTTTTCTGTTTTGATGACGTCACTTCCGGTCCGGAGTTATCAGCACAAAATTAATTTTTTAAGGGTCAGTTTGTCCGCACGATTTCTCCTAAATGACTTTAGATAGACACGTGATACTTTCAGGTCTAGTAGACCTATGTCTGTAGATTTGTGGAATGTATTTTATTTTTACCGGAACTGCTGCACGTCGGCGTTCGGTATGGCCCGAAAATAGGCCTATCGCGAATTTCAAAATTTTTAGCACTTTTTCTACGATATCTTTTTACCTGGAAATATTTTGTTTAAACATATAGAACAAAAGAAGTGTAGAATTTTAAGTTCTTCCAAATGATATCTCGGAAAAATGGCTGGCCCCTAAAATTAGGGGTCTACAGGGGCCGAAAGTTTTTCCTTTATATCTCAAAAAGTATTGATAATTTGTAATACGTCCATGTAGCAAAGTTGTTCAAAATGTCAAGCTTAATCTAATGGAGTCGTCAAAATACGTCCGTCGACGTCATTTCCGGCCAAACGGAAGTAGTCGAAAAACGCGTATTTTTACCGTTCTTGAAAAGTTTTTGGGTAACATCTGTCACTGGGAGCATAAAAATTAATTTTATGTCCGTCGTAAACACTTCCGGTCGCACGGGAAGTAGCAAAAACTTCCGGTCAAACAGGACGGAAGACCTACTCGTTGCTTTGCAACGAGCTTTGCTCTAGTTTATGAGTTCCATTTATATTGAAAAAGCAGCTGTCAATGATACCAAAAAGCCTTGACTTTAATGTATCATTCGAATGAAATCTCAAAGTCAATTCAATATGTGTCAACAAATACCAAAACATCTGTCTCTTTTTCTCAGAAGATGAACGCATCTTTAAATATGTATATATTTCACTGAAGAAAAGCGATAACATTCATCAGTGCATGAAAGCTTTAATGTAATTGCATACCTCTAACCAGCAAGGAATCGATACACAGAGGTGTAAAAAATGTATAGCGTTGGACTGAAAAATCGTAAAGCATAACGATATGTATTTTAAAAAGAAACAAATGTAACGTTGTATTTAGAAAAGGAAAAAATCTTCAAAGACAATTAGTAATGATTGCTATCAAATTATTATTGAGTTCAGTCTGACCACACAAAATTAAGTACCATGAAATGAGAATGCAGTGAAGAGAGTGTTCTGGTGTAATTGTTTTGAATATTGTATAACCTGTATTGATTTGAAACAAAATATCCATGAACTCATACCTGTTTATTTCTTTACAATCATATTCATTAATACAAAAAACGTAGTACGACGATGATCAAAAAGTTCGCGAACTAATTGAATAACTTCCAAATAAGAAATGATATAGGGTTGAAAATCAGTGTTGAAAATTTGTAAACATAGTTCGCGAACTTTTTGATCACCCCTCGTAAATACTACCTATGAGATTATATTTTCTTTTATTTGTAATGAAAATAAATAAACGAAAAACAAGGATTTTTTTTTTAGTTTCTCGCATTTCTGGTAAATGGATATTTGAATACGACTTGATGACAATGACAATAAGTTTACTCTCGTGAAACTTGTTTAAGTTGTAGAATACAATAATTAATACAAATACATATGACAAAGCAATAATTTAGGGGGTAGTAATCAGGAGAGCGAAGTCTCGCAATAATCTTTTGTATAAATTTAAAAATGTTTATCATCTGATTTTTTGTAGGTTCAAACAGATTCAGAATATAATAGACAGATAAATATAATGACCTGGCTTATTTTAATACTTCATCAGTACAAGTGAATAAATAATGGAACTCATCACCTTTTTTTTCCAGTTACATAGGATACATAGTCTTTGTTCTCTAGAAATACCATGCCATCTCCCTGTTTCAATAGGGAGCCTGGCATTACCAGTTCTAAATAGGCGAAAAATTCTCAGAAAGAGATTGATCAAAGTTTTGGTTAGAGTAAAGATTAAATGATATTGGCAAATGTTTAGACACCTTGTCATTACGCAATTACCAATCAACTGACTTGACACAATCCTTACTTCAGACGCAAAGTCTGGGATTGGCAAAACTGGCATTGAGATTGAGTTAGAAGACCTCTATATACACCTCCTTGCCCTTTTACAATGAGCAATGAATGCATTAGCCGGATCTATTTTGTAAGGAATGAAGTGCAGTAAATAGATTTCTATCGTATTTTCTTTTGTAATGTTTGATAATTAAATTGACAACAATCATCATGCATCTTTATCTATAATTAGCTCTTATTTGTTTCTAGGATACAGCATTTCTATCCTAGTTATTGACATATAGATTGTTTTAAAACTATAGACGTGATACACGTATTATCAAAACTAACACGACATGCATTTCCAAAAATCCTCAAATAAATGTATTGAAATTCTTGTCAAACTATACTCGCCCATTTTATTGTCTACATTAAATGTTTTTATTGTAACAAATTTGAAATACCCAATATTGTCAGTTGATGTTACGTAGCCTTATAACACTGAGGAAAACATAAATAATAAATTGAAATTTGGGAGAAGGTAATTTTAAAGGACTTTTTGATACTGTAAATGCCAGAATACCACATGTTTATTCTTATTAGAACCTTAATGAACAAGGTTCAGTTTCATTACAAATTTGGAAGTAATGTAAGAAATAAAAATCCATCCAATCTAAGTTTTAGTGGAAATTTCACCTAAAATATTTTGAGAAATTTATTTTTTAAAAGGATTTAACACAAAATATCTGAAAATTAAAGTGGGCGACGACTGCATACTTTCCTTTCTTAAGAGAAATAATTCCTTGAATGATTCATTTTTAGGCTTTTTCTGTTGAGAAAGGTACCAAGATTATTGACGCCATATTTCCAGAATGGTTCAACTTTTCGCCATGTCCATTCATAGTTAATCACATTTATATACTCAACTCATAATTAATATTAACACTTTTTTGAAAACGTTTCATTTTAAGGGCACAGTAGAGTCCAAAACTGTACTATTTTCTTACTACATTGTAGTTTTAAAAATGTGAATCAATCGTGTATCATCCATTAAGATCACTTTAACGTTAGTGTCATTCAAGAGCTTAAACTCCAATAAATATCAAATATTTTTATCATTCTTTTATCGAAAATCAGAAGCAGAACAATTTATGAATATCTGTCAGTAATTTCGCTTTTTTAGTGATAATGAAAGTAATTCTATCATTTAAAACAATTCTTTCAAACACATTATGAAAACAACAACAATCATAATGTTCATATATATTTTTAAGTATAAGGATATTTTGGCGGAAGGAACAGAAAAAAGTACAATATTGTAAGGGAGTTGATATAATAAAAGGGCAAACAAAGTAACATAAAATAAGGAAAAAAATAAACCACAATTCATTGTAAGAACAAGATTAAGACCAGGAAGTGAGGTAAGTAAGCACTGACAACAAAATAAATCAGTGAACAAGGTCAACAAATCCAGTGAGCAATGGCAACAAATCAATGAACGAGTTAGCAAATCCAATGAACACTGACAACAAATCAATGAACGAGGTCTCCAAATCAAATAAGCACTGACAACATACAAGGGATCGAGGCCAAGAACGCCAGTGAGCATTGACAACAAACCAGTGAACGAGGTTAACTAATCTAATGAGGACTGACAACAAACCAGTGAACGAGGTCTCCAAATCAAATAAGCACTGAAATTTTAAAAAATACAAGGAATCGAGGCCAAGAACGCCAGTGAGCACTGACAACAAACCAGTGAACGAGGTCGCGAAATCAAATGAGCACTGACGACCTACAAGGAATCGAGGCCAAGAACGCCAGTGAGCATTGACAACAAATCAGGGAAGGAGGTCAACAAATGTAGCAGGCACTGACAACAACTCAGAGAAGGAGGTCAACAAATCTAGCGAGCACTGACAACAACTCAGGGAAGGAGGTCAACAAATCTAGTCAGCACTAACAACAACTCAGGGAAGGAGGTAAACAAATCTAGCGAGCACTGACAACAACTCGGGAAAGGAGGTCAAAAATCTAGTCAGCACTAACAACAACTCAGGGAAGGAGGTAAAAAAAATCTAGCGAGCACTGACAACAACTCGGGAAAGGAGGTCAACAAATCTAGTCAGCACTGACAACAACTCAGGGAAGGAGGTCAACAAATCTAGTCAGCAATGACAACAACTCAGGGATGGAAGTCAACAAATCTAGTCAGCACTGACAACAACTTAGGGAAGGAGGCCAGCGAAGCCAGTCAGCACTAACAACATGCCAGAAAACACAGTTTATCTACATGTACAAAACCAACAAACCATTTTATGTAACAACATCTAATGAATGTCTTAGTAAAGTTTATCTACATAACAGAAGAACTGAAATATTGTCTAGTAGAAATAAACTAAATTGCTCAATTTTTGACTTCTCAAATGTTTCAAAATATTTTATGTCTTAATATGAAGTAGTTCACAATCAACACAGCTGTAAACATAAAAAATACCATATATTTACAAAAATATCGATAACTGATGTAAGTCATGAATTTTTGAAATGCTTCGTTGTTCGATATTCAAAAAATAGTTTCAAAATTCAATACATAACGCACTTTAGCAAATAAACAAAATAACGATAACCTGTATTTAGAAATATCAAGAATTGATCTGTCATGAACTTGATCAGTTTTTGATATATATCTAAGTTTGACATTTAACAGATTTGGCTGCAAAATTCAATACAGTGCGGAATCTAGCAATCAATCTAGATCAGTCAATCTGTGCTAGTTCGGTAAGGGAAACATCCAGTATGTGATACAAAATCAAGTTAAGGTCTCGATTTTGCTCTCCAGTGCTAAGAGTATTCTACACATGATGTGCAATTTAGTAAAATTTAGATATGAGGAGAAAAGGAATATTGAACATGAAATGTGAATATAACGAAAAGCGATCTTTCTCAAAATTCAATATTGGACACAAAACTAATCTGAGCAAATGCAATGTGAACTTTTGGGGAAAAAAAGTTAGAAAATTTGCCATGGAATAGTAAATAAGCATCTCTTGTAGACCAATCAAACCCAAATTCAAAGTTTTTGCTATTTGACTTGTATAGGAAAGCAAGTTTAGCATAACGTTTCGATTGTGTGTTTGTTTTTTAATGTCCCTCTCGAGAATATTTTACTCAAAAGAGACGTGCGCCACCATTTGCCGGTTGAAAACTTCAGATTTTGACCTATGCTCGGCATTCAGGACCATTGAGCAGTGAGTGATCTTTTTCGTGCCAGCATCTATACTGCGACACGGGACCTCGGTTTAAGTATCAGTCACATTATCCAGCGATGGGGTATACGATGAGAAACCGATGCGTTTTTTTTTTTTTTCTAATAAAAATGGCGTGGTTGCCGGCCGGACACCTATAGTAATCGGACGGTGCCTGAGGCCATTAGGCGAAACGGTGGGGTCATCGGTAGAAAATAACAGAAAAAATAGACAGGTTTTTTTTAATTTAGGCAATGTTTATACCCTCGTTTGAAAAGCTGGAGGGTATATAGTTTTCCTCTCTCTTTTACAGAATCTTCATTACATATTGCCCATGTTGTCAATGTGCACCTCCTATTTTACTTTTTGATCCGACACATATTTTGGGTTTCCCATAGCAAAACTTGGACACTGTCATTATATTCATATGGAAGGCGGGGGCATGATTTAGTGAGCTCATTGCTCATAATACCCATCGTTTAAAAAGTCACATTGTAATAACAAGTAAAATTGATGCAAAGCATCAAATCAGCCGCAAACAAAATTTAGCATTTAAAAAAAATGCTTTTACAATTTTTAAAGCGTCCATGCAAAGAAAGCTAGTCAAGATATTCCAAAATGAAATAATTGAATAGTTTTTATTTTAATCATTTTATTTTAGGCTGTCTTCAAAGCAAAATAAATAATTTTTAAAGAATTAATGTGAACCAATGACAAGGAAAAAGTCTTTTCTAAGAGTTTATTTAACAGTAGTGAAATTATTAGAGAATACAAATGAAGATCGTATAGTGGTTAAGAACAAAAGAAAGAGATTGATCCCGAAGATCGCTATAGATCATTTTTATAATGTACAATGCATCATATTCATTCATTCAAGTTATACAATATATTGGGACTAAATCCTGGAACTTTATAAAATAAATTATAATTTAAACATAAGCTTAAGTTAAGTGTCCTGGTATTGTGCAAAAGTTAATATAATATTAAAATAAGTTTTTGCAATGTTCCGTTACTGTTCCTGTATCATGTCCGAAGATAGATAAACATCCTGGTAGGTTACACCGTCCTTAATCCGATAACCAAGTTTATTTACATTTTTAATTAGCTTATTTTTATGATTAAGATAATTGTCTCAAACCCTATAGGTTTACATTAAATAGATATACATTTTACCACATTTGCTCATAAATAGATTCACCGATGAAAAAAAGTCAACGATCATTGATGAATAATAAGAATTTATAACCATCATTTGAAATGTCTCTCAAGATGAACCACCTGCTAATACCCTGGATCTTGGTCACGTGATAAAGCCCATGGTTTCTGCAGCTCTAGTAGGCTATGCTACAAGCCGCGGTGCAAAATGTAGAAAAAATATCTTCTTGTCATTTGCACTGTGGAGCATATTCAAAACAATTTTTACTTGTTGAAAAAACTTTTCAATTCTCATTCAACGTGCACTTTTACCACGTCATTATTATCCGGAAAATCATGACGATTTCCTTCCATACCTTACACACTCCAAGGCTGGGGAGTATCTATTGTACACTCTTTTTACATAACCATAAATTATCAATTACCTCTGGAGAAATGATAATGAAATTGAAAAAATCTAATAACAACAATTAATAATAAGTTTGAAGCAAGTTTTTAACATATTTTACTCATTATTTTCACTAGTTATAATTTATGAATTATTTTATCGAACTAATGAATTATAAAATCTCATTTCCCCATGTGCACTTTCTAATACATCCACAAATAGATCGGCCGGTAATAAATTACACATTTCTAGACAATTCTTTTTTGAAAATTCATTCGAAAGGAGAAGGATTTCCAGAAAACTACATTGTAAATGCTTTTGAATACTAGTATCTGTCTTTATTAATTATACATTCCTTAAGTTGTTTATACAGTATACAACTTTTTATGAATATAAATTGAAGATATCAGTGTTAAACACACGGGTTGAGAAATATTCAAATGTCACCGTGCAAACCAAATGCTTTAGGGGCGTGCTTCCTTTTTAAAAGTTATAAATACACTTTCACCGAATTATGATCTCTTTGTTTTCCGAAATCAAGTCAATACGTTGTTATTCCAAGTATTAATTTGGACCCTATCCAAATTTATTAACCGTATCATTTTATTTATTTATTTGGTCATAAATGTTTATATCAGGGCTTTTTCTGAGTCAGCTTTATATTCTGAAGCAATCACTTATCGGGAAGGAAAATCTTAAGTTGATACACAAAATATAAATTACATCAACTTTTCTTACGGACAGTGGAAAATGGCGTCGACAAATACTGAGAGTTAAGTCGACAAATACCGAGAGCGAGATCTACAAATACCGAGACCGAGATCGACAAACACAGACAGCGAGATCAACATATACAAAGAACCAGATTCGAAAAATTCAGAGAGCGAGGTCGACAAACAGAGCGAGATCCACAAATACAGAGAGTGGGATCCACAAATAGAGAGAGAGCGAGATCGACTAATACAAACAGCGAGATCGACTAATACAAACAGCGAGGTCCACAAATTCACAGAGCGAGAACGACAAATACAGAGAGATCCACAAATATAGAGAACGAGGTCGACAAATACAGTGAGATCTGTACAAATACAGATAGCGAGAACGACAAATGCTGAGATTGAGATCGCAGGGAGCGAGATCGACAACACAGAGCCCAAATGCGTATACAGAAAGGGAAGTCAATAAGTAAATAGAGAAAAAGATCAACAAATTAAATACTGATACACCTTCAGACTGATTCTATGACGATATCAATTTACTCAATGTCGGACTTCCAGCAGTAAAATTAATAAAGAATACTGTCAATATTTTTGGTACAAAAAAGTTCCAAATCTAAATATAAGATACATGTACATCGCAGATGTTAAAAATCCAAACCGAAAAAGGGAAAGCCTCATTATGGCCCTTCAGTTGGGAACGCTAGATACATGGTCACCTCTCCTCCCCGGAAGGTCTCACTATACTGTATAACCAGACTCTGGGGGGTGGGGCTCACTTTGTAACTAGCCTTTACGGTGTTTAATTACACAGTAGCTTGGCCCACAATGAGAGTGTAATCTTTTGAGGTGCAAAGAAACAAGCACGATAACTTTTATTTCGGTTTTTGTGGGAAAACCTGTGGTTACCAAACATTGGTACTGGATGAAAAGGTATCGGTACGTAACATGGAAAATGTTTTGGTAACTTTACTAAATAGATGACTCTAATTTTGTTTTGTTTGCTCTGAATTCAAATAAATATATTTACTTTTGAAGATTAATATTTACAGATTTTAAAAAGCATTGCGATGCTTTGTGTCATTTAAATGAATGTCGAGATATAACGTTAACCAAATTGTATAATTAAATACCTTTAAATGTATTTGAAATTGATCAATGCTTAAGATTGGCTTTCTTTGGGTTCAAGTAGAGTAGCAAGCTGAAGGCTTGAATGGTTGCAGGGGTCACAATTTACATTTTAAAAAATATTAATTATAGGGACATTGGTATGTGCCCAGTAAGGATTTTTTAGGCGGGTGAGAGTTGTGATAATATTACCTCAGAGATTAAAAGATCTAGATCTCTGTAGAAAACGGGGAGGGACCTTGCAATTGGTTCTACTAGCTATAGGGCGTAGGGATGGGTGGGGAACTTACCCTAGCTCTGTTGATGCAATCAATTGTACAAGTGTATAAAGACTCTTTTACTGAGTCAGAATCACACAATCGGCTTATTCTTGAGAAAAAAATGAACAGTTGGAACACAAATCGATCTGTCCTCCTTCACGACACAAGCTTAACAGGCTTCAGGCATCAACAGTCCGTCTCGACATGAAATATCGGACTTATTACTTATACATGACTTCATTTCAGCACAAGATAATTCTGTACTAAAACAAGAAAGACTTGGGCATTGTCATCTAATAATCCGCAATTAAAACAAAAATTCGTTCGCTAAATATTTCTGTAGAAGGAAATAATGCCGTTTTGATCTTAGCATTGATAGCTGTTTTTAAGTTTAAAGGAAAATGGGCAGTAGTTAATTCATACATGGAGCAGTGACGTGTTTCCAATGTATCGAGTCAATACCACGTGCGTGACTGTCCTCTTCCTCCCATGTTAACTGGAGATTTTAATTAGTTCTATCTATTGGTTGGGAAATACAAAGTTTCTTACGGATTATTGTTTCTAGTGTCCATTTTAGAAGGATTCTTAGAACTATAGAATGTGAAAGGTAAACTTCTAAAAAATTCGTTTAAAACAGTCTTTTTTTTTTTTTTTTGATTTCACATACGATATTATATATATGTTCCCTGCACGTAACATGCATGGAGAATTAAAACATTATTTATAAATTATTTATTCCTTTATTTATTTTTTACACGTACACGGAAATACAAGACGAAAACCAGTTATTATTCATCATTTCAACCAAATATTTTGTCTTTGCCCACTTTTATTAGCTTACTCTTTTCCGATCTTAAAGTGATACAAAAGCAAAATGTGTTTTAAA